TGGACTGTCATAATTTCCCTCTGGTGCGATACTAGGCATAGAACATCCATCTTTGGACATCTGGATAAAGTGCAGGTGATGCCCCCATAGATTGGCACAGTGTAGATAAAAATAGATTTCGTTTTTCTCCATTTTTTACTATTTTTGGCTCATTATACTACATACAAGTTGTTAATTTATCATTTTCCTAATTTTAATTTTCCTAATTACAAGAAACTTCCCATTCATTATGAAGATAATATATCCGACATTTAATTTTTTGAACTTAAAAAAAATTAGGCAATAGGCAAATTAAATGATGATGCAAAATTACCACTTATACAGTATTTGCTGCACTCATTGCTGTGGTTTCAAATCTATGGCATGTCAAAATGTAGTGTTGCAACATACAAGTGTCTTAAAGTATAAACTTACATTATATAGACTGGGTTAGACATTTATCATTGTATTGTGCTTTTTTGTTTCAATCAATCAAGAAAGCAAGCAAATGTCAAATGAAGTACATAGTACATATTTAAACTTGGTAGATTTGTTTGCCACATAATCAATAGTAAAAAGGTGAGATATTTTTGCTTTCTCCCATGTATTTTTTTATTGTTGTTGATGAGCTGGGTTGACTAGCCATAAACTATAGTGTTAGTTATCCTAGGGGATCTATAGAGCTATACAATAATCGGAGAGTGTGAGGTACAATCAGTGGATTGATGGTTGAACTAATGTGCTATAGTACCCCAGGGATCGTCTCAAAGAGTGTGGAATTGTGATGTATTGCACTGGGAGGATAGCATACAAAACTAATTATTTAGACAGCTGATGTAAAATACTCACCATTGAGCTGATCATATATGTCCCTAGGGGGAGATATGAATAATATTTACCCCTGGGATAGACCAGACAATGTAGATAAGCCAATGGGGTGTGGGGCCAATGCTGAATGGTAACTAAACATGCTTCCATTGCCCAATTTGATGACAAAGTCGTTTTTGATGGAATCCTTTAGTTCTATTGATATTTCTATATTGAACAGTAGCCTAACAACAGATTCAAGCATACATATATTCACAATTTAACGAAACATAACGTATTTGGGAAAATAAATATCTTAAAAATTAATTGTAAAAAGATATGAGATCGTGACAATGGTGAACTTATCCCCCTGACAAAAGTTGCAATCTTGATTCATAAGATTTCTAGGTGTATAGAAACAGCCTTGGAAGCCAGTCGAAGATGTAAAGTTGCATCTTGCCTTCTCTTGTGCAATCTTATTGCAACCAATTTCTGCTAGACTGGGAATATATCTATGGATAAATACTTAATGAATATTTGTTAAATTCTTTTAATAGGCCATATATAAAAGTATAGTATGAGTTGCTATTGTCTCATTGAAGCAAATGCTTTCATTAATGCAATAATTGATGTGTTCAGTTCTGCATGAGTGAAGACAACTTGTCTACATTCTAGTTAACATTGTGTGCTGAGGCCATGCCTCAGTGACCTCCGTGTACATTGCATAGTGTCACTAATATTTGCTCAAGCTTGCTGGCTATGTATCATCCTATCAGAGAGAGTAAATACAAGTGATGACATTATCATATAGACAAATGTCCCGATCGAAAGACGTGTATAAAGGACCACAGTTGTATTAATGTGATATATATTGTCAATGTGATTTTATCAATATGAGTGAATTCATCAATAAAATAACAGTGATTTAGGAGGGATTATTTACATGTGTTTGGTAGTTGATTCAGGACATGTCGTCCTTGTGGTTGTAATGCTTGGTGAATCTATTGAAAATCAATAGGATGATATCAGTGAAAACATGGCGGAAGATATGTTTGCAGAGACGATTAGTGTGTGGTATATTTATGGCTAACATCAAAGTTAAGACTACTCATTTCTCAACTATACAACAGAATACCCGCAAAACACAAGAGGAATTCTCCCATGTTGCCTTGGTATGAAAGATAGCCAATCAGTTGTATTGAAACCAGGATTTGTGGTCACTGGGGACTGGAATTGTTTGGGTGCCATTAACCACAAAACCAGTGAGCAGGACTATGGTTACATCTCATATTAACTACTATTGTCAAACAAAAGTTTCATGCTCCATTGGGCATGACTGTTAGAAATAATTAGATTGCTTTTGTGTATTTAAACTCCGAGCATGTTATACCTTTTACTTGGCCCAGTAGAAATCGATATGAATGTTCCCACTGGATAATAGGGTTTGGGTTTATATTTCGAGACAATAGGAGCATAAATGAGCGCAGCATGCCAACGTTAGCATATGGCAATTGGCGGCCATATTTGGTGTGATTGAATCACTCTCTCGAGCAACCGTAATTGCTTCGTGGTTGATTTATGCAAAATGTTGAGTGAAAGTTTTGAAAGGACTCATCAAGGGCCCTCTACTGAGCTTGGCCTGGCATCTTAGCGCCTTTCTTACAATACTGTCATTAACGCTTTAATAGCCCTTCACAGCACCGCTCAATATCACTCCAGCGGACAATCTGATTGGTTGTTCTTGAGCGCCTTGTCAAATGCACTTGTAAACTACAAAGAAACGAGAGAGCTACTGCATCAGTGCTCCCTCACAGATATCATTAGCTGCCACAGATGAATCACCCTGCTCTATAGAGGGTGTTTACATTAATACTCTAGTATTGGCTGGGTTATTTCTTTTCTTGTTGAGGATTCTGTTATTTTTAAGTGAGGCACGCTCAGCTGAGCAGAACAATTATAGAGATGGGTGATTACAGCTATAAAAATGCACAGAATGACATTTCCCCTAGTAAAGATACCACATGATTTGCAAAATGTGAATTCCAATGAAAATAGATATTGTGGTTGAAAGTATGCAAATTTATATAGGCTTATATCATAACATTGAATTGGCTTGACACATTTTTCAGATTTTTGAACAAAAAGTGAAAAGAAACTAATTAAAATTCAGAATAATTCTTGAAAGGGATTGCTGATTTACCTTGATGAGAATAAAAAAGAAATCTGTAACTTTTTCCCATGCATTTCAATAAAATGACGAACTTGAATAGGGAGCTCATAAAAAACTCATCTTTTGTCCATGTGGTTGGGGAAGCATTAAAGTGTAACAGTGTAGAGAGATTGACTTGGCTAGTCACCAAACATGTATATATGGGGCCTGTTGTATTGTAAATAATAAATGGTTAATTTGGAACTGAGTTTAATGCGTGTTGCGCTGGTGCAATCTAGATCGTTGTGTACTATTGATCTACGCTATAAATCCCAAGACAGGCACGTCATGAAATATTCATGCTGAGGTCCTATGTTATAGAGTGCCTTATATAGGAAGGCATTGAAGCGATCCATCCCCAGGGGGCTTACCATGTTAATTCTACCAACAAATACATCAGGCTATCAAGGGAGCTGTCGCAGCCAATCAAAAAGCAGATAATGCACCACACTGCTCTAATTGGTTGATCGAATGCGTATTAACTATAGGGTGTTCAGCGATGGCTTTTAACGTAATTTGCCTTTTACATTTTGCGCTTGATTGCGCTGGGAGATTGGTATTTCTTTTCTTACATTTTCTCTCATATCGGCTCTATTTTTGCCATCAGTGTTTCATCATAACATATGAAAGAATTGTTCACAGATTGCTGGTTTACCATTGTGATTTACATACTCTTTCACAACATCTCAGCTTATTAGAAATTAGAATAGACTGTTGATTACTGGGAAAGAGGATGAAATGTCATGTGGCGTGTTACTGGCAACTGGGCCTCAGGGGATTCTTTGCTGAACAGTAATGCGGCACAAAGACAAATGAAATCATCCCCTGATGGTGTTTTAATCATAACCTAGTATGCATACAAATCTTCCACATTACCACTAACCAGACCCATGATTATTTCCAATCCATTATTAGTTATTCTCGTCTGATTGGTCGAGTCAAATCACATGGGAAGGTTTGTGTATGTCCTTTGCCTAATCGTAAAAGATGGTAATCAAACTAAACAACTTTGCAGTCTCTGTCACAGCAAAGGGTGGTTATGCCCCATGTCAACTCTTCTAATATTACACTCTAAGATCTTTGTAATCATCCTTTCTAGGAGCAGTTATAATCTCTCAAAATCCCAATTTTAACGAATACTTTGTGTTCTAATTAACGCATGGCATTTATTACATTGCATCGTTTAATAATGAAATATTGACTTCTTATTCTAGTTGCAAGGGATACGTCCTACATTATACTCATATCAATGAAATTTGTTTTCTCTAACAATTGCGCGATATTTGGACTGAATTATGTTGCTTAACAAATGGATTTGAGGAGAAATTAGACCATTATTAGGTTATTTATTCAAGTCTGCTATTGGTGGCCATTGATTAAATGATTAGGTATCACTGGAATGAACCAGAGCAGTGGTTGCTTTTGATCTCATAGAAATGAGTCTTTGGTACAGATTGAATTTGTTACAGTGTATTCTGCTATTACTGCGATATGTATAATGTCCCTCCATTCACTGGTGTTTTACATTGGGTTCCATTCATTGATAAATTGATATATCTAGTCCTGCTATCTACTTCAGCATGTAGTAGTGACAAAACAGGGGTTTTGGCACATAATAAACGCCAGTATATTTTTTATCATAGATAGATGAGATTGGAGGAAGTTTAATGCAGGCATATTGATAATACACATATGAGTTTATGCCTATGGTAAAAACATACAGTAAAACCTGTGTATATTGAACATTTTTTTGCCGAGAAAAAACGTTCAGTGTTAGTAGGTGTTCACTTCAGAGAGGGTAATATATACAGAAGTCAGTAGAGTATGTGTGAAAAGATGTCTACATGAGACATGTGTTAACTAGAAAGGTGTTCTATAGAGAGGTCTTCACTAAGACAGGTTTTACTGAAGATTGAATGTTCATTGATTGTAATACATTTGCACATACGTACATGTATAATTTGTTTTGTGACATAGTTTGATTTGTTATTCTTTGTTTTTTCAGACTGAAATTGCCAAGAGATTGAATGCTATATGTGCCCAGGTGATCCCTTTCCTTTCACAGGAGGTAAGAAATAATGAAAATCTAGTATCTAGTCTGTATTTAATATAATCTCCCTATTCACCGTTTCCATATTAATTACTGTATTTTTTAAATGTCTTATAACTGTTCATTAGTGAACTAAGTCTCATTTTGGTACATGTACCCGTAATTGAGACTTAAGTATGGCATACCCTATTGTACCATATTCAGAGGTACCTCGGCTGTACCAATTAAGAGAGATGATAACATTACATTGTACTTGAGTGAATATTTCATGAAGTGTGTACAAGATCTCGAACTCACACATAAATCGCGAGATATTTGCGTAATTTTTAGACTCGGAAAAGATGTTCTTATTTTGCATTTATAATCGCAGAGTTTGTGTACAAAAGTGAGTTAAATTTCATTGTCATCATGGTTTTTGTTCAAAAAGGAATCATGAGGTTTTATCAAGGGATAAGATATAATTTCTGTCTTGGCATGTGGTTAATAAGAAATCCTTGAAATTTGGGAGATCTAAGTTTTCATATGCAGGAAAAACATTAAAAATGCAGTAAGATTTTAAACATAGGCTCTCTACAATCCCTTGCCTCACTCAGTAATCCCACCGTAGCTAATTACGGGTTGAGCAGAATATGAGTTTTTCTTCCTAACTGGTTACGCAGTGTATAGTCTGATGTTGACTTCCCCAGGGGTGTAATAGCTTTAAAAGCACGATAAATCATCTCCCCAACTACAAACACTCGCGTAGCAGACATAATTCCATTCCAATGTTAATCACTAGCTACATGCTATTTCTATGTCAATTCTGATCGTAATGTAAGCATTGCCAATCTCTCTTTATGTAACACAAACATGAAATTCTACAGTTAACTCTTGTATGACCTACTTCGAGAACTAGCGTTTTTATGACGTTTGATGTGAATATTCATTTCGTATGTTTTGGTTTCCAGCACCAACAACAGGTGGCAGCAGCGGTAGAGCGTGCCAAGCAGGTTACGATGACAGAACTCAATGCTATAATTGGGGTAAGAAATGGCATATATCTTTTGTGGCTCTTTTTTACGAGGAGGCAATATGTCTAAAAGAACCACAAAATAATCTCAGTGACTGATGCTGTAGTAAAATCAAGGGGGCTTATATCAGTCAGTTCGTGCATTGCCTTTTAATTGCATGACTAGGCTTGACTTAAAAATACAATTACCGAAATGTCTATGTGACATTCATATACAGATCTACCATATTTAGTCCAATCAATTTTGCAACAAAGCTAATTTGTGATCAATTTATTCTGACTATTTCACCCAAAGAGGCTGTTGTTGCATCTTCCTTTGGCACAGCTCTCCTGGGATCAAATAATCCCCACTCTCAACACAAATCCATTTCACGCTCCTGACTTCTCTAATTGTATCACTTGCCGACCTGGTCCCACGAGACCTGTTCCTAAGGTATACATACAGCAATTTCATTGGTTGGGTTGAATTATATGGATGTTTTACGGAGAAACTTTATGAAGAATTGAGTTAACTATGCACATGGTAATAATATTTATGATTGCAGTGTATCATCTGAAATTGTCCTCTGATAGTTTGTCGAATAACAGCGTTTTCTGAACATCTTTCTATTTTATATTTCATTCAAGTCTGAATACTTCATTCTATCTGCATAGATAATATTTGTGAAAAATGGTGCTGATTGAATGCTAGTTCAGAGATATTAAGGCACATGTTGAGTATTAAAGTAAGTGCCAACGTTCTTGTACATCTCTTGACAAATTGCCATCTCTCCTCCCAGTGATATTGGCGAATTTTAATAGTGATGTACGTTGTGATGTATGAGATCTGGAGGATCATTATTTCATGTACACCAGGGAGACTGGGGACATGATCAATATAAGGAACATGATGCCCCTTTAAAGCTATGATTCGTTCCAGCTTCAGGAATTTTGAAGATGGAGGAAATCAAGGTTCATAATATGTTTCATATTAGGATAGGCTTGTGAATTTGGGATTTGCATGTGACAAGTCTTCAAGCCGTAGTTTCAAATTTATTTAGCCAGTGGTTTATTTTCTCATAAAATAGGGAATTATGATTCTGAAATGCAGTTCTCTTTAATAGTTCATGACATAAAGGAACATCAAGGCAATTTCACCTCACAAATTATAATTTACAATTTCCTCGAGAAACAGATCCACAGTTATTCAATCAGTCTAATAAAAGGAATATAAAAATTTGAGATATATAATCATATTTCAAGAGGAATAATATATCAAAGGCTTGTTTTTCTCCTCCTTAAAAGTCATAACATAAAAATGAATATAATGACATCAGTATTTGGGCTTAATGTCTATGACTTAACATATCAAATTATTCAGGTACTACATACAAAGTATCTGGCATTTCACCATATGATTTGAGATGACAATGCATCGAGAAAATAAAATCATTGAAAAATAAGTCAAGATTCTGGAATGTTCCCGAGTTAAGCTGTCTGTCTATTGTGATGTCATCAATCATGATAAAATTGTTAGTGGATCCTAGCTCTGGTTTGATTTCTTGCCACTTTTGAGAAATTGTTTTGTTTAGAAAAGGAAATTGATGCCAGCCAGATTAAGTGACTTGAACATATAGTACACCCCAATATTGAATCAAATGGGCGTGGCACCCGCTTGAGAATGCACTATCACCTTGCACCCTGTTGAAAATCCAGTCACACCCAGTGTTGAAATCTGATGAAAAAACTATAAATGAACATATGTCACGAATAGCCTATATTAAAAAAGTTGCATCACAAGCTTAATAGCATTGATGTAGTCATTTTCCTGTATCTTTGAGATGTGTTTGATAAAATACAACTGAGAGAATGTTGCCGGAGTCACCTCATTTACTATGTCCACTTTGTCTGGTAGGTAATCCCAAATGCCCAAAACTAATACACTGTTCCATGTTCTTGGATTGATTGGCCTACCTTTCTGAAACATTCACATTGACATTTACTTAAGTCACTTTATATCATATTATTTTCTATTGAAACATTATGAATTAAAGTTCACAGTGATCCATTTTCAATTCGGGCAGAGTTATCAAAGAGGGTAGGCCGTTGTTTTGAATTGAAATACTATAAAATTGGTGGAAAATGTTAAGTTGAAAAGTTTTGTAAGAGCTTGGTAGCTGTATCATATCACACATCATTGATTTCACACCAAATCAGTTTGTTTTACTAGACACTTTGAGGGTTTCTTCCACATACTAGTGGGTGAGTCATCTAAAACTCTTGGTATCGAACTACAGTGCCTGTGTAACTCTTCATGGTCAACTCCTTCATCTTCAAGGTGACAATTAGTTTATAATTCATCAATATGACTAGGAATCATTTAAATGTAAATGACAGACTGGCATATTAATAGTGAAAATCAGTGTTCTTTCTTGATTTGATAAGAAACAGGGTGATGTCCTATCAGTATAGATTTGTGGAGAAATGTTGGTAATCTGCAAAGTATGATCTGGAAACTTGTTACAAATTGTTTCCAAATACAACAATGTTTGACTTAAACCAAACCTTTCAAAATGATAAATTACAACCTGCAATAGCTGGAGCTATTACGAAATGGTATAGGAAAATCCATATTTAATTCTGCCATTACCATTCAATCAGGAGTGAGGCACCAGTTATTAGGGAGTCATGAAGTGACTGTTTTGGTGATTTTTTATAAGAATTTGGAATATAAAGCTTCTCTTTTAAGGGAATTATCGAATGATAAAAACTGTAAGTAACGATATTTTGGGAGGGGGTAGAAGTCAGTCATGTTCAAATTTAAGTGAATCGGTAGGATCTAAAATGAGTGATAATGATAGGTGATAAGTTGACAATACATTTGCAATTTATTAAAAATTTATGTCACAAATGAATCCTCAACACAAACATTATAGATAAAACATAAGCCTGATCGGTCAAATTTGAGTTGATAAAAACAGAGATGTTAATGTCTGACTGGTTGAATAATATAATTGTAATGATATGTAAGCAAATGAAATAGTGATGCCTTGAATAAGTACTGTTCGGTACTGTTAGCAACATCAAAAATTTATAAACATCATTGTTTAAGTTCTAGTCCATTCCATTCAACATTAGATGTTTTGATATTGGTTGCCAAGGTGATGAATGATGAAATGCATGTTTATTGTTGTAGCAACAGATGCAGGCGCAGCAGTTACCACATACAGCCCATGCCCCACATATCCCAATGCCACCTCATGCCCCAGGCCTGCACCCCCCAGGCCTACCTCCCTCTGTCAGTGTCAGCAGTCTGATGCCCTTCCCTGGGGCACTACCTGGAGTACCACATCTACCTGGTATGAAGGACCATCTTGATAAAGGTAAGCTTTTATGACTATTATGAGGATTGCTTGTTTTCTGGGGCCCTGTATGAACACAGTGAACATATATCACATTGTCTCCTAAAGGGGAAATTGCCATATTGATATATCCCATTGTCTCCTGGGGGAGCATATTCTGCATATATCTTTCATAATACAGTTTTCTGTCGCTAGTAATAGTTTTATAATACAGTATTTTATGAGCAAATGAACAATATCCTGATTAACTGATACTTAGGTCAAAACTGTGAAATCATATTGCTATCATATTTTTACAGTATTGTTAATTGTTAATAACTTGATTATCACATTTAAAATATGCGTTGTTGCATGTACGAAGTTATCAGATCAAAAGTAGTTGTTTGGAATAATTATATGTCCGTGACAACTAAATATGGCGCTCTAAATGTTTTGTATGTTGCCATATGCACATAAATAAAACCAGGTACATGCATTAGTTAAAACAGGGGATTTGACATGTGGCTTGTGAAAGCAGAATTTTCTTAATTAGGAATTATCATCAATACAGTGAAATTGAATTCATGAATCAAAATGTATTTAAAAAGTGACACGTTTTTTCCATGTGTAGCAGATCTGTTTTTTTATAAAGCTGCAATTAATTGATTTAATTGCGCTGGTCAAAAAAGAGATTCAAAAAAATATGTTTGAATTTCGAACTTGTCCAACGATGATTGACAGACCACAATAGTCGTATTTTCTACCTAAAAACGAAGCAAATTATCTTTTGTTCGGGTAACTTGGTTGGTGATAAAGGATCCCCTTGTTTTATTGGCCATTTCAGGCTATAAACCACATGTTCTGTCAAATTAATAATTACATTTTATGGGATTTGTTTCAATGATTAAGAAAGTTGAAAATAATAGAATAATCACATCAGAATATTTCTTGTTTCTAAAACATATCCCTGGTCCACAATAATGTCTTGTTAAATTAATTTGAGGACCTTTCAATCAAGTATAAGACAATAATGTGACTGTTATGACTTCAAACCATGCCATGTTGTAGATAAACTGAGGCAATAATTAGAGTACAGTATGTGCTTAACAACTCTTTTTTACAAGTCGTCGCTAGACTTTCTTAGAAAAACTGAATGAAGACTGTTGTCTTGCATACCATAAACTTTGGCGGAAATTGATCTTTTGCTTAACAATGGGTGTTTTCTTAGACAGATACTTTTTGCCGATCGCAAAATGAGAATAGATGCTAAAAGGGAACAGCTGGTGTCAGTGTGTCTAAAAGCACTGGGAGGGCATGGATATTATGCAACACATGTGCTCAACACATAAGATGATGTTATAGCGCATGAGATGATGTTATAGCGCATGAGATGATGTTATAGCGTGCACACTAAACTAGTGTCATTTCTTACCACTCAGTACCTTCATCGGTTTGGTGCACTAAATGAATTATTTCAATTACATCAATCAGTATTAAACACTTCCATTTTTAGCAGGACTCTAAATTTTACTAATCAGTTCTCGTCAGCTTTTGCATATGTCATCCTACACCACACGTCTTCCAACTGTCCCACTCGTAAAGTTAAACAAGTCATGACGCCCGTAACTTATTATGAGAAGATTGGAGATGACAATACTGTACGCCTGAATAGTGCATATGAATATACCTAAGAGAATTGTCCATTCTGCTGGTATGATTTATTTGAAAATTTGTGTACATTATTTCATTTCTCAGCTCGTCTATACTAACTCTTCGGAATAAAGGTTTCCACATTGATTAATTGTTATTTCATATGTTATTGCTGTTTTGAATGATCAGCCATTTGCTATCATCCAGTATCTGAATGCACATATGATAATTAAACAATATCATGATATATGATGATATATGGAATGAAACAAGCTTATATTGAATTTCTGATTGTTTATCTCTTTGGAAACTGCGAAAATAAATACAAAATTCATTACTTTTTTACTATAACTATTTTAAAATCAAATTGTATGATCTACATTATATATCATTTTAAAGATATTTTTCTACGTTACATGACGAGCCCGACAGGAATTTTTACACATTAAAATTTGATCCACCAATAGACTGAGAGTCAAGAACGAGGCTTGTCCAACTAAATGTATGGCTGAGTCATACGTTTGTATATAGCCTCTATTACATCTCCATACCTCGATTGTTGACTCTAATGCCATTGACATGTTTTCGCTCAATTTTTCTATAATTCACCATCTATGAAGAGAAAATTGCTTTCCTGAATTTGTCAACATAGAGTGTTTTGACTCCCTAATCCCCTGTATACTAGCTACTACAACCAGTTAGATTGTATATGCACCCATCACTTACAAAGAATCTAGCCGTTAAATATCTATATTCTGTATTTTGAACATATCATTTTGTATTTGAAAGAAAAATTAAAAGAACAATGCTCGATTGAAATTATTAAAAATTTTAATTTTTAATTTGTATCCATCGTTTGAAAATGCTACTTAAGAAGTTTGTGTATTAGGGACACTACCCAGGGAGGGTGGTGTTTGTGTACCACATGGATTAATCGCTAGAAAATATGGCCTAATCGCAAATATACTCTGGGATTTTGTCAGATATTTCCATTCAGTACAACAAGTTATGTGACACTTGTGATTTCATTGTAAATAGACAATCCGTGTATCTGCTTTGTTGGTCATACAATCTAATCCTTGTACACCCTACCTAATGATAACATCAGTATAGTGGCATCGGGCCTCACATTGAACTTTGAACAACCTATCTAATATTATACCATCAGCATAGTCAGTCCTCACATTGAATATATCTTACATTTGAAAATGTTTGTCTTGTTAAAGATATAAGCACAAAGGGCAACATAACACAACATAAAGCAACAATGGTCCTTATTCATATATTTCATATCTAGTTTGTAATTTTATTAAAAAAGAATTTATGTTTAGAATAAGACAATATACAATGAGGGCAATCTATCAATATTTTGAGTTATTTGTTTTTGTGTTTTCCTTGGCAACAAACTTTTGTTGGCTTGTTGACACTTATATTTTGTTGTACTAATTGATTTTTTCGAACATGTATTGATAGATGATAACAATATGCTAATGTTGTTTATTTCCTTATTTTCCATTGTTGCTGCTATGGTTGCTATGGTAACAGAAAGGGAAGAGCGAGAAAGAGAACGCCATGTAAGTATTTATATGATTTTATTTCTGGCACACACAAACACACACACATATTACAGGATACATATTCCACACTAGATACATATTCCACACTAGATACACACTTTAGAGATTACAACAGTGAGGTTAGGACTCATCACAATATGAAACAAATCAATGAAAGCACGATCGAAACTGAAATGGTTATTGCAAAGATTTTTCAAGTGGTTACTTGAAGGAAAGATTCCATTTCAAGATTATGGAAGATATTAGCTCCATTAGGTTTGAACAAAGGAATGGATATAGTTGGCATATCAAGGATCACTCGGTGGACACTTGGCTGGGAGACTCTTTGCTTAAGGAGGAAGCTAATTGGCTCGTGAGTAAAGATAGAAACTGTGTCCCAGATGGCAGATGGAATAGAAAGACCTCCCTTGCTAGGGGAATTGGGTTCCTAAATTTTGTTCATAGTTGTTATATTGATATACTGTCATAAGTGTGCCTTTATGGTCTGGTTTTGAAACTGAATGAAGTTGACTGATAATCCGGATTCAGCTTGAAGAAAAATGCCTAGTATTTTGGATGAGCCTTAATGTGTTTTGAAAGGGCCTTGATTGGCCTCCAGTTGGGCTGTTAGTTTAATCTTGCCTCAAGTGGGCCTATAATAGCAAAGAACAATCTATTAAAGCACAATACAATACACTTTACCATATGATCACATATCTCCCCTTTCACTACCTTGATGACATCTCTGTGCATGCACTTCGGAGATCAGCTTTGATCATTAAATTTAAGGTATTTATGATATTTGCTAATCATTATGAAAAATCGAGAGTGTTATAGATACAGGTACTTCATTTCTTCTTTCTCTTACATTATGCTCCATTATCCTTTATCCCCACTATCCAGTGCACTGCAATTATGAGTTGGCCAAGGAAACAAAACTTTTCCTGGTGGATATATATGAGTTCACTGACTGAGTTTTTCACATACACTCTCCTTCATAAATTTGGCAACTGGTTAAAATCTATTAATGTTTGAATCTTTATTTTGAGTCTTTATTACAGTAGTTCAGAAGATTATGACTTTGAGGGATTTTTCAAATCACCAAACATAAGCAGGCTTTAATACTTTAACTTAAGGAGGGGGGTGTAGTTCATTGTTTTGGTAAAGTTTGTCAAATGTAGGCCAGGTCTTACTGTATCATTATTATAAAAAGATTCATCAGCCAATCTGCAGTAGAATACATTACTGAAATATTCAAAAATTATCTTAATTCAATGAATTTAATTGCTTGGATCAAACGATATTTGGGAGTCGAGCCTTCTGAAATGTATATATTGCCATATATTGTACAAGTAGATGCAGTATGAATTTTGAATATTACGTACAAATTATCACTATATCATATAATGAAAATAGCATCCTACGCTCACGCTGGTACATTATGGGGCCGTTGCTCTCATATTTTAGCAGTGTAGTGCAACCTTTACTATTTATTTCCACTCAACATAATTACAAACCTCTACTAAATACATGAATGATATTTTTGAAGACAACCTTGCCTTGCCTTTGAGAACATTTGGAATCATTTAGTAATCCAAAATAATATTCATGGAAGCATTGTGGGATTCACAGGCCTTACTATTCCTTTGAATAGACAAGCATTAGATGATGCGGGGCTCTGGTAAATCAAGGGAGTGTCTGTTACAAAGTTGTAATTATTAATTTTAGGTTTAGACTACTTAGCATTGTCTAATTAACAGGTTGAGTGTTTTAAATGTTATATTATGTTATGTTCTGTTAAGTCCCCACGCAACAGCTGATGAATGTGTCTAGGTTTTTCTAATGTTCAGCGATTCTATTGTCTCTCATTGTTATTATAAAATCATATTACTTCCATGGATTTGTAGTGTCACTATGATGCAGTTCGAAAATCCTGTCCAAGTCCAATAGACTAGAGAAGTACTGGGTGACACTGTTCAGTGGAACTAATTGCTGAAAGTTGACGAACAAGAATACATGTAGATAAAAATTGTGGATCGTGAAGTTAAAGAGTCAATGCCTGTCTGTAATATATGCACATCAGATGTCCTTGTTTGGCTATCCATTAGTGACAATGAAATTGGAAAGGACCAAAACAGCGAGGTTTCATGACTTATCCAAACATTTTAAGTTTTCAAGTTGAAGTTCTTGGTTTGTTAAACAGTTCAAATACTTCTTGGAATGCTCTGGTGTTAGTGTAATGCCCTAACGTGTCTAAGTGGACTATTTTACAGCTTTCAAGAGTTGTGTAGGATTACCATTGTTTGTTAAGTGAGTGAAGTGGTTCTAAAGCACTAAACAAATCAGCTTTGCCTTTTGGGGTAATTTCAAAACTCTCATCTGTATAGCAAAGCGTGATAGTCCTATATTGATCTGGGGTGCAAGTCTCTCAAAATTCTCTTGAATATAATTTTAGAGTTTTAGAAACTCTGTGTTTTTGCTCATTATTCACTGCACTGGAAATGATAATTTTAAAGCTTGGTCTCCTCATTCTTTTTCTGGCCAGTCTTGTGATTCTTGTTATAGGCCTGTTCTGTAGAAGCATATTTTGCAGGGAATCCCATGTTGTATTTGTGTTTAGACTCAAGGGCTGGTTTATCTCAAAGCAGGAATGCTAACATGAGTTGATACACCTCAAGTAAGAAAAGTTGACTGTAGCCTAATCTTGTAAACAATCCTACCGGCCCCCAACCATGATGCCAACCTCTGCCAAATGAAATCCATTTGAAAAGTAGAGGAACTCATATATTCAGTATACATACACTGTGCATAATGTACTGACATTGGGTTATTGACAGTTCCATTGATATCATCCAGCTTTACAGTGTGTTTGCTGGCCAGTCACCTCTCCATGGTAAAATGGATATTGAAGACATTTTAAGGTAGTAGACCTTTATCATTCTGATACTCATAGCATATTTCTGTTTCACCTGAAACATCTCAGGGCTGAGAAGAATTGCGGTGTCATGTTTTATCATGATGGACCTTTATGTTCTCAATGACCCAATGACCAGACTGCTTTGTTGTTCTGAATGATTGAGTCATTAGGATGACCACTGCAAGGTAATGGTTGCATTTATCAACAATCAGCCCAAGGCATGGTGCCAGAATTGTTGAATATCATAATAACCCTACAAGGGAGATCAATAATAGGACGAAAACCTTGTCACTAATTGCACATGTTGAAAAAACAAATATCAAAAACATTTGCTAGTTTGCATTTGTAATTTTACGTATGTTAATGATACATAAAGGTTTTAATTACGCTTATTTCACAATCAGATTGATCAGTCTATCATTCAGCTTGGTGGATAATGTAATAATGGTTACATTATTTCCAGAATTGAATTGACCTTTTCCCATTTGCTATCATGTAAATAGATCTAAGCCAACTTTGATGGTGTTTATAACTATGCTCAGTTTTTCAGATAATTTACAACATAGATATATTGTTGCTTAGGATTATGGTATTTTTCAGAGACCCTAATTTAAATGCTATGTCATTATATGTTACGATATATTGGGGGCTTTATATATTTTAAAGTAGTCTCGCTACAAGCCCTTATGACAAGGGATCACAGGGGCTTGAAGTTAGACTAATTTTAAAGCTCTACTTATATATTCTTAGGGCTCTAAACATTCTCAAGGTCCCATGCATCCTTGAGGCTCTATCTTGCTTTATGGCTTAATTATTCTCAAGGCTCTAATTTTGAGGCTCTGCATACTCTAGAGGGTCACCTTCATATTAACAGTATTACTATATATTCTCATTATTAATTTTTTTTTGTGGTGGGAATTGATGACCAGGAATCTATTGAATAAATGTTTTCCAAGAGTCTGATTATGTCAAGAATTAAAGGTAGTCGTGGGATAATTGGTAAATACGGTTGCTACCAGCTTACAGGTTCAGTCATATCATATTATATTCTATATGTCTATTAGTCATGTCTAAATTATACAGTCTGTCAGTTATTAAAATATGAACACTAATAATATCATGAAATAATTTGATACATGATGTACTCTTATTGCTTTTTCGATAATGGTAGGCATATAATCATTATTATAAGTCTGTTGTAGTGGACTAATCTATGTTATGAACCATATGTATGTCAGTAAATATGATGCTAACTAGCCTTATTACTAATGATTTTGATATATATACAAATATTGAGTTCATATTCTCTTACTGAAATTGAAATTTTCAGTTATATCAGGTTTGCATATGCAATGTAATATAAAGCAGGATGAGCCGTAAAATAGGACACTTTGTGTCCTCCTCAAAAATATTTTAGATAATTTCTTATACTTATTGTGTTTATACTTAAACATTTGGACTGTAAAACGATTAATACATTATCATATTGTATCCTCTATCCCAATTTGTTTAGCCGTAATTGCAAGTTTTCATTATGGTGTAATAATTTAGAAAAATATATGGGTACATATTAGGGGTATCATATTAGCTAGTATTGAAATCAACCATCGTGTAATGTGGGACCCCTAGTACATATTTCTTGTCCATTTAGAAAATACCAACTGGGCTAGCAAGAGTATGTCGAGAAAGTTGTAGATGTAGTGCTGGTGTACATCGCTTCCTTACATCAGGATGAACATGCTGGAGCTACTAAATTAGAATCAGCCAAATGTTTTTTACTCTATGAGGGGTCATCTCCAATGCCTTGTATAATATCATTTCATATCATAGCTAGAGTATCCTTGTACTCATTGACTCTAGGTTATTATAACTCTAGTTTTACGTCCAGAATATTGAGTTAGATTTGTGGTAATGAGTTTTGCATCGCACGTTCAATGTCGTTGTTTCATTCTGAACAGTGATTGTTGCCGATTTGGCATTTTTGAGTTGTGCCCTGTTGAGTCTATGCTATCATGATGCGGAACAGGGGTGATCTTCTATCTATACATGCTTGGAGAATTTCAAACATCTTCTCTGATCCCGTTAAATCATATCGCCTGGT